ACTCTAGTCCACACACGTTTATGGCATAATAGGTTTGCTAATCTTAAAGGTGCCACAAGTCTCTTGGTTGTTACTTCAAGAGTGTTTCATTTCAGAGTAGAGGTAGATGCTGATACATCTGGATGAGTGAGTCTTCCCACAAATATACATGAATCAATAAATTTAATTTGTGGAAGAATAGTTTGAAGTCTAGCCTCTTCCCTGACATGCTCATTTTCTGCATTCAGGATTGAGTTTTTGTTTTGTTTTGTAGAGCAAGGACAATTCACACACACAGCTTCTCTCTTCGGCCTGTTGTTCATACAGACCAGCCCTCAGCTGGATTCAAAGCTTCAGCACTGCATTACTGCTGCTGTTCCCCAATTGCAGCCGCCTAAAGGACATTTCCCTACAGCAGCAGTTTGAATATGTAACTGCAAAACTAATTGCTGCATGTAAATTATGAAAATAAGATTCTGGGGAAAATATATTTTGTTTCTGAGAGGGTCCACTATCTGAAGTTGTTCCCAATGTTCTCATTTTCCTTTGGGACGCAGGATATAACTGACATCTTTGATCTCTCACTTGAGAGATGCTTGCAAACATTTCCTTAAAGATATGTGCTTTTTCCTCATCAGTGATTGGCCTCCTATTCCCAATAGGATCCATCTTTTTTTTTTCATTCCGTAATGTTGTTGAGAGCTATCTAGATTCCTTTCAGCCTTGCACATATCACTAATCCTCAGAAGGTTTTGTTGCTTTGGGAACCTCAGCTGATGCTGAAGAATGAGTTAGAAAATATGTTATTCTCCTCACTCCCCAAACACTCCCCTTCTCAGGCTTATTTTCTCTTCCTAAAAGGGAAAGATTATATTATTTATTCAACCTGTTTTCTTGTGCTTTGTTTTGCACGATACTTTAATTTTTGCAGGCCAAAGTAGCCCAATAGTGAGAGACTTAAGATATCAAGAGTCTAGTTCTATGCAAGTTTGCTCAGAAGTAAGTCAATGGAGTTCTGCCACTAAGCTGTGGCCCTTTAAACACTTTAGATTGAATGAAGGGGCTTAGAAAACTTGGAAGGTCTGGTTCTGCAAACAAACATTCTGTTGCTAATCAGCCTATAGAAAGGAGCTACTTCTTCCCTCTGCACCAGGCCTAGGCAAACTCAGCCCTCCAGATGTTTTGGGACTACAACTCCCATCATCCCTGACCACTGGTCCAGTTAGCTAGAGCTGATGGGAGTTGTAGTCCCAAAACATCTGGAGGGCCGAGTTTGCCTATGCCTGCTCTACACCAACAGAATAAACTATTTTTCTCCACAATACCTTCACTGGGCAGGTGGAACCTTACAGATTTCTATCTGGGACAGAAAGCCTTTCTGTACCCTAGCTTCCATCATTTGTGATCCTTGGCCAAAACAGTTAGGGGCTGATGGGAATGGAGAATCAACCAGCACCTGAGATGGGCACAAGTCCCCCCCATCCTAGATGCAAAGGTTTCTTCTCCCACTCAAGAGGCTTCATGATGTAGCACTGCAACATCAGATTGCTTACAATGAGTGAGTTGCAGAAATATGTTTTTCCAGAAGTTCAGCAAAACTTGGACTACAAACCATCCTTGGCCATCACATCTGCAGCATGATGTGCCTCTGCCAGGAATGGATTACATCCATGATTTTCCCTGACCTAGATGGGCCCCGATAGTATTTTCCATTGACCCAGATACATTGGACTAGTATAAATGTGACATTTACAAAGTTAACAAGAGATCCAGAAGGGCCTTTGCTCCAATTCACTTAATGATTTCTGCTTTTGGCATTTTTAGTTTGGAAAAAGGATCCCCTGCCCTGCCCCCCCCTTTATCTGCATTTGGGTAAGGCAGATTGTCTTTGTGCTCCCTTCTCTGTGAATAAAGCAATGCTTTTGCAAAAACAATTCTGTGGAAAGTCAGGTCCATATAACAGAATAAGCACACAAGTGAGGCTTGCAACAAAATGTTGAAAAGTGCAATTCTCCTGTTTCAGGGTTCCAGCCATGCAGCTATACCCTTTCCAGGAGACTCCATTCCATTTGCCCACCCTCCCAGTTTTCTGTTCCACACCTAAACATCCAACCAGCATTTCATGACCCCTGAACATACTCAGTCATCATTGATTTTGTTTTGGGGGTTTTTTTTTTGCCCCCCGGTTTTTGCAACGAGTTTTTAAATTATTTCTTTAAATCTTGGAGCGGGTGTGGTGCCATTTTGGCTACATAAGTGCTAATACTCACCCCTAAAGTTGAGAAATGGAATACAGTGGTACCTCGGGTTAAGTACTTAATTCATTCTGGAGGTCCGTACTTAACCTGAAACTGTTCTTAACCTGAAGCACCACTTTAGCTAATGGGGCCTCCTGCTGCCGCCGGAGCCCAGTTTCTGTTCTTATCCTGAAGCAAAGTTCTTAACCTGAAGCACTATTTCTGGGTTAGCGGAGTGTGTAACCTGAAGCGTATGTAACCTGAAGTGTATGTAACCCGAGGTACCACTGTAAATGATTTCCAATCCCCCCCCCTTGTTCATTAACATTGGGCCCTTCAGGGTAAGCCATCGTCTGAAACAAACTACAGGTTACCATGAATGAGCAGCGGGTTGGCCCATTGTTGCTCAAATTATGCTCATCCCTATTCCTCCCTTTTGTGCAGCTGGAAAGCAACAGACCACAGTGCTGGCTTAGCATTATGTACAAATCAGTGTTCATGGCAGATGCTCATGGCTTCTTTGGGAGACATAGCATTAACCCAGAGCTGTGATTTGTTTATTCCTGGCTTAGCAAAGGGAGGAGCAAAGTAGCGTGATTTGAGCACCATGAAAATGAAACCAGCGAGTCTGCACCCCAGTTAAGCCCTCCAATCTTCCCTGAGGCTGTGACATGTTAAAATCAATCTCAGACAATATACTCCGTAAGTTTTAATCAATCGATTCACTGATTAACAGCACAATCCTGTGCTTACTCAGAAGAAAGTTCCACTGGGTTCACTCCCAGGTAAATGTGCATAGGATTGCAGCCAAAATCTGCCTACATTTGTATACGGTAAGCAATTGTTCACAGGGTTTTTGTTTTGTTTTTCCGACTATGCCTTTGTGTGCTGTAATACAATCTTAGAACTGACATTCCCTTCTATGTGAGCGAGAAAAGGGAATAGTGTCTCTAAGGGGATGTTTGCCACCTGTAGGGTTTTTTTTTTTGCAAGCAATAGTATTCCCGCCCCCCCCCAAAGCATTTCTTTTAAAAAAAAACGTTGTCAGATTAAATAAATAATCAAAACATGACAAAATATTGCAGGTTTATTATTCTCCTCTTTCTTCAGCATTCAGTGGCAAATTATGTCCTTCCTTAAAAAAACCCCAAAAAGCTCCTAGCCCCACCTTCTGAAGCCAAGCCCTTGTGGGCAGCCTGATACTTAATGAGAAAAATATACAAACATGTTTTTTTCCTATTTAGTCAGGCAACCTGAAGACGTTATGTTTTGGGACCAAGTAATACTCTAGCTATGCATGAGAACAAAGGAGCCAACTCCTAGGGGCCAAGCCCCTTTGACTCCCCCAATACAGCCCCCCAAAAATTGATTAGCATTGCCATTCAAATGGTGTTTGTGCACCGTCAATATTTTACTCCAGTTGGCACCCCTGCATGGGAGCAAAATGCACTGCTTATGTTAATAGGCTGACACAGCGACAGCCATTTTAATATACATTATCCGTCATGCCTAGAAATCAACGCAAACATTGATCAGAAGTGCAGTCTCAAGCAGGTTTACCCAGAAGCAAGTCCCAGCAAGTCCAATGGGACTGAGTCTGTAGTGCAGGGCCAGATTTAAGTTTGATGAGGCCCTAAGCTACTGAAGGTAATGGGGCCCTTTATATGTCCAGCTGTCCTTTGTCAACAATAAATGGTCACTGTTTTTTGTGTCGAATAGATGCTATATGGTAATTTATGGACCTAATAGGCATCTAAAGCCATATAGAAATGAGCAAACCAGTGATATTTTAGGGAGCAGGCTGGCAGGCGGGGCTCATTACTTACATCATAGGAGCCTACACAACACAAAACACTGTTGCTGTATGTAGGTTTTATTTTATTTGTTTTTTATCTTATATTTTGGAAATGTACACCCAGGTTTTTTTTTCCTTTACATTTTTTGGGGGTCCCCAAGAGAGTGGGGCCCTAAGCTATAGTTTGTTTAGCTTATACGTAAATCTGACACTGCTCTAGTAAGTGTGTTTAGGATCGCAGTCCAAGAGTGCAATCCAATGTGTGTGTATTGAGAAGTAAGGGCCATTGTATCTAATGGGGTTTATTCCCAGGCAAGTGTAAACAGGATTGCAGCCTTTCTCCTACAGAGACCTAAACAAATGGCTTTCGTGCAAGAGCTGCTGCTCCTGTTTTTCACTTACAAAGGTACTTTGCAATCTATGTCATGTTCACATTCACATTACTGCGAGGCTATGGAAGGGCAGCTGAGTTTAAAAAGCAGGGACTTGTCAGAAGGTACATAATCCCTCCATGAAAAGGGGTGGAGCTTGTACCCAGCTCTTCCATAACTATGTTTATCAAGCCTACCACACTGGAAAAATCCAGTAAATAGCCTCAAATGAAGGCTCCATTAGAAAGTAAATAGGAAGAAGCTTCCATTTCTGAAACAGGATATGCTTCCTTCATGAGATTTTCTGAACATGCTGTTAATTTACTAAAAGTTTGCAAAGGTACTGTGTGGAGTTCTCAAACATTCTAGCAGACAGAGAATTAAAGTGTTTTGCTAAAAAGCAATCACAAATGTGATCTGTTTCCTTAGAAAGCCCCCAGCACCATCTGCTTTTTGGGCTGATTTTCCATACCAAAACCAGTCCTCCTTCAACCATCCCATACCAACCAGTCTCATTCTCTCTCCCACCCCCACCCACAGCCCAGCATGTCTTCTGATCAGATTCGGATGGGTTCCCCCCGTTTTTTGTGGGTTTGAGAAAAGTTCTGGACTTCCTACCTTGACCACATCGTCGTTGAGATGCTTGGGGTCTCGGTCGACCAGGTCAATCTCTTTGGTGTGAACGTCATGGAACTCCTTCTCGTTCATTTCATCTGCCATGACCTTGTTGTTGGGCTTGTAGATGTTGCCTTGCTCCCTGATGGTGATGGGCGCTGTGTAAAGAAAGTCCTGGAAAGGGAGGGGTGTGGGAAAGCGGTCAGTGAATCCGATGCGACTACTAAGTGAACGGCGCGGTCCTGGGAAGGGGATGCACGTCCAAAAAATCCCACTCGCTCATCGGACGTTCAGAGAGCGGCTGTCTATGCTGCACTGGTCAGGGAGAGCGCGCGGAGCCTGGGGAAACTTCATCCAGCGAATGCCCCAGAGGCTGGCTTTTTAAATGGACAGAAAGTATCTGACACCACACCCCTCGGTACCAGGCAGAGCCGCGACTCCCGCTCGCGCCGCCAGGGGTCCTCTCCTGGCGCGCGCAAGAACTGGGCAGGTTTGCAGCCGGGGAGGGCGCAGCCGCCGCGCCCATGTTCACGCGCTTGGAGAATTCGCAGCTTGGAATCCCCAAGTTTCCTCTTGCAGGGAGCTCTCCCTTAATAAAGCAAAGGGGGGGGGGGACTCCCTGCCCCCGACCAATCAGCTGGGACACTTGGCACCTTGCCCGCCTCGCGTTTCACGCGCAAAGGAGTACTTTGCGCCCTTGCGCTGGCTGCCAACCGGCGCGCCACCGCGCAGCCTAATCCCACGCGCGTTTCCATTCGACAGCAAGTTCCAGGAGGCCCGCTCATAAGAGCGCATAAGATCGCAGCAGCGGCCAGCATTTTCAGTGGCAAATGTGGGCACCCTAGTAAGCACCCCAGGGCACCCCCTGAATGCCCCCAGCAAAAGGAGAAGAGAAGGCAAAGGCGAGACGAGACGGGGATGTAAATAGGACAGAGGACAACTCCCCCACCGTTGACTAAATAACCCCAACATGTTGGCATGGAAGAGCGCTCCTTGCCTTGGAAGGAAGGCTGGATGGGGAAAAGCGTCTCCTGCAACGAGGCCACGACGATTTAACACCCCTCGTACTCCGGATCCGTTAATCCAGAACAAATGCCTCATCTTTGGGTCCATTCAGTCGTAAACCCTCACATGCGTTAGGATTCATCCCTGAATGGACAGGGGAGGAGGACGCAAGACGGTTAAAGGCAGAACTCATCCGCGATAAGTGTTAGTACGGGGCTCTAAAAGTCCCTCTAATCGTGCCTCCCTGGAACGTCACCCATTCAAAGAGTCGCTTGCTTGACAGCCGTCCCTCACTCCGCTTCCTCCTTTTTAAAAAAATAAAATAAAAGGACCTCTCTAAAGTTAAGGCGAAAGAGTGCTGTCCCAACCTGACCCACAACAACCCACAGATTTCTCGAAACCCATTCAAATCTGAATGCCCTTGGCGCAAGTCGGTTGGGTTGCGCCGTTGCCCGAAGACGAGCCGCTTTCGTTTTCAGAAAATCCAAACTCCACGCCACTCTCCAGACTAGCAAACTGCAGCTCCCCTTAAGAAGAAATGCCTTTTGCACACTCGTTACAAGTTTAGCTTTGGAGACGCTCTCCAGTAGATTCCCTCTCCAGCCTTGTAAGAATTAACCGACACCGGGGTGGGGTGGCGGGGAGTGAGAGAGAAACCCCAGTCCTTTCTTTGCACTGGGCAGTGACAGGGAACATATTTGCAAAACATAACCCCCCCCCCAGGAAAAACCCAACAACTTACTCTAGAGTTGTCCCTAAGCCTGGGTGGGCGCCACTACAGCCTTGGAAATGCTGCGGGGGAAGCGGTTTAAGCAGGAAGGCTCTCTCTAGGAGCGCAGGGCGCACGGAGGGAGGCGGGGGGGGGAAGAGAAAAAAACAAGTGCCCGTCCAGGAGATCAGATTACCAACACAACACAGACAAATAACCCCCGATTGCCCTGAAAACAGGCTTTGCAGTTCCAGCTCTGGAAAGGGCTCCACCGTGGAGAGCAGGGAGATAAGGGACGAGCCAAGAGCACTCAAGAGATGGCTGGCGCAAGCAGGTACTCTGTGCCAGGAACGCAAAGCAGCTTCGCGAAAAGAATGAAACATTGCAAAAGCATGCCCTACCTCGGAGTCTACGTATTTGCTCCCAGACATGCTGTCCTGGGCTTGCTCGAGGCTTTGCGGAGGGCGTTACTGACCGGTAATTTAAAAGATCCGACGAAGGAAGATCCGGAATTGTTAGAGGGGAAGAAAAAAAAAACCTACAGCGCACGAACACACACCACAACCCCCCCCCCAAACAACGCACACAAACAGAAGACTGCCGAGTGGGCGGTATCTCTAAGTTAGAGTCCTGGCTGGGCGCCAGGGGTTTGTTCTCCCCGCTGCAGCTCTAGACTTGGAGGACAGGGCTGGTAGAATCTCGGCACATCCCCAAGGCTCGAGGAGCAGCGCGGAGTCGGAAAGGGTAAAATCCACACAAACAGGACGCGCGCTCTGCGCTCTGCTGCTAATTTCCCTCCTTTTGGAAAAGCCTCAGGCGATGCTTGTTTCCTTGCCAGTTGCAGCGACCGTAAAAGAACACACATGTGCACGCTTATTCCCTGAGTTATCCAAGGGCAAGCGGTTAGTGTCTGGTTAAAGAAAACGGTCGCCGTGTTGACTTTGCGCGTCCGGGTTTTTTTTTTTAAATTTATATTTGGAGAAAGAAGAAGGGCCTTTCCCGCTTCCTTCCAATCGCCGCCTCCCCATGTCTTGCGTGGCTTCCCTATGAACACCAGAAGCCTGATTCAGTCAGGGTTTATGAGCGATCACGAGGATCCTTGGTGCTTCTGCCATGGAAATAAAGAATAATATAATACATGTGGATTCATGGGACTTTCTTTTACATCCACTCGAAGTAACAGTTTCAAAAGCTTTTTTCTTCCAACGCAGCAGCTTTTACCTCCGAAGCTTGGAGTCATCTGTAGGTGGGTGACAAAAGGAAAAAAGTATGCAGATAAACAGCCCCCAGATTATGTGTGCCCTATTATTATTATTATTATTATTATTATTATTATTATTATTATTATTATTATTACTGATGCTGATGCAAACATACCAGCAGTGCCAGAATAAAAAAACAGTCTTAACTAGGATGGATTGCATTTGTCGGTAATTATAATAAAACCAGGAGCAAGACTTGGCCTTTTACAATGTACATGAAGGGCCAAATCCTGTCCCTTGTTTTGCCAAAATTACATTGTACATTCTAGGAACTTTGATGGAGGTGAAACACCCACCCACCCACCCTGCGAGCTATTTTCCTTGTGTTGGAATCATAGAATCCAGGGTGTGGCTGCTGGTTGTGTCTGGGAGAATGAGAGTGGAAAAGGTAGCTTGAAGAAGAATGATGTTGCAAAACCTCCTATTATTTTATATTTCCATCTTGTTGGTTCAGTGTTCCATACTTTAAAGGCCGCTCCCTTTCCTGTGTCCCACTGAGATCTTTCAGACTCACTGCAGATCGTTTAGTGTTGAGAATGAACAGAGTGGGTGGATACAGATGTAGATACAGACATAGAGGGCCATTATCATCTGGTAACTTACCACGGTGTACATCTCATTTGGTATACTGGTTATTTCAGCCCCAGCAGCAGATGTCAAAACAGCCCTTTGGTGACCTTCCTACCCTAAGGTTACCAGACGTCCCCGTTTCCCGGGTACAGTCCCCAGATTTACACATCAGTCCCCTATATAAAATCCATTCAAGTTGAAAAGTGTCCCCGGATTCATTGAAAAAGTCTGGTAACCTTATCCTACCCTATGGTAGCTTGGTCACCTCTGTCATCCTTCCAAGTGCAAAGGAATTAATTTTGCCACTCATAAAATGCCAATGTACAGTAATACAAATAGCCATTTCTAAAAGGTAAAGGGACCCCTGACCATTAGGTCCAGTCATGGCTGACTCTGGGGTTGCGGCGCTCATCTCGCTTTATTGGTCGAGGGAGCCAGTGTACAGCTTCCAGGTCATGTGGCCAGCATGACCAAGCCGCTTCTGGAGAACCAGAGCAGCGCACGGAAACGCCGTTTACCTTCCTGCCAGAGTGGTACCTATTTATCTACTTGCACTTTGACATGCTTTCAAACCTTAAAACTTTCCTAAATGCAACTTGCCACACAAAATATTGCTGCCTGTGTGTTGTTTGGCTGAGTTCAGATTTTATATTTTGCAACAGGATTGTGGGCCAGAGATCAAATGGCTGTACTGTACTGCTGTTGGCAATTTCATTTATCTTCCAGGACAGTCCATATCTCTTGTTTCATCACTGCCTGGTGCGGAGTGATGAAACTGCCAAGACACAGCCACATCTTCTGCTCTTGTTCATGCCAGCCAGGGCAGAAGACAACAGGGAGAGGCAAACTGCTGCATCAATCTGGAGAGGGAACACGAATCAGGCCCCAATCAGGCCTGATGCCATCAAGCGACAGCAGTGGGGCTGGTTTAGCATTCAGTGGATCCCAGGCATGTTCAGACCATCTCCTCCCATGGAATGCCCTATTTGGGGGCTTCCTGTGAGCTAACGCTAGCAGGGATCCTCTTGCCTGCCTGTTGGTCAGGTGGAACGAGATGGTCCACATTAGTGGAGGACACTAGCATCCCTTTTTGGGTGGAGCTGAGCAGAGGGACACTCCCCTCAATTCAATACGCACCAAGCCCTGTTGTAAAGGGTGTTGCAAGCTAGATTGTGAATTTTTTATGTCTTTATATTTGTACCATGTTTGGGGGGGGGGATACATTTTCAATAGGCAGTTAAGGAGTGCCTTAAATAAATAAAAATGCAACAAAGCATAAGCATACAAAGCAAAATTGAACATAGCAAAGTATAGGAGGCTGTGTGCCCTACTTTACAGAGGACCGTTTTCTACCTGACAGTGTCTTCTGTTAGAAGGGCTGTCTGGTCTGCACCCAGTTCAAATATAAAGAACCACATGCAGGAAGAGCAAGTTGTTCATCAACTGTTAGCTGCTGAAGAGCAGACAGGGCAGACACACAAGACCACAGTATTCCCCACCCTGGTGGGGAAATGATGGCAACTATTTCTAAAATTGCATCTATGCATATCAATTAGCACATGCAAATCTTAGGCAAATCTGTGCCCCCTTTGTCTCATTGTTTGGTGATGTGGCTCTTCTGTTTTGGTGATGCTTATGTGGTCAGTCTAGGCAGTCTATTTAAAAAGCAGCATAATATCTCAGCAGAGATTAAAAAAACCCACATAAATGGGCCCGGAAGGACAAAACTGGCTTCAGATGGCAGCAAAATGTAGGTGCCAAGCAAGCCACATCCATTGGGCGAGCAATCCATGTATGCTTTAGTTGAGCTTCCGTCACTGGAGAATGACACTCCAGGTCCCTTCCAACTCTACAATTCTATTATTCTAAGAACCTTTTCTCTGGTAGGCTCCTGTTACAACTCAGAAGGTGAGGGCACTCAAAGGAAGGCATCTGTTCAAGATCTCACTGTACAAGCAGGCTCATGTGGAGACAGGCAGTTCTTCAAGCACACTAGTCCCAAACTGTGATGGGCTTTATACAGTGGCGTAGCGTGGGGGTGCAGGGGGGGCCGGCCGCACCGGGCGCAACATCTGGAGGGGCGCGCTCGCACTCGCAGCTGTCTGCCCCTACCTGGTTAGGGGGCGCAAATTACTTGCCTTGCCCCGGGTGCTGACAACCCACGCTACGCCACTGGCTTTATAGCTTGAAAGTCTCCATAAGCACCTGGTTGGTCACTGAGAACAGGATACAGGACCAGTTGGGCCTCTGGGCTGGCTGAGCAAGGCTCTTAGACATTTTCATGTTTTAAGGTTGAATTTTGCCTGGAAATTAGAGAAGAATGGTGTGGAAAATAGTAAGACAGTAGCTCTGCTCTGAAAATATTTATGGTTGCTAAAATATACTTAATAATTTGGAATGTGTGTGCAAACCCCGTTAAATTGTTTTTATATGAACTGTTTAGACATTTCTATTTTTTAAAGCAATTTAATAAATAAATTATGTGGAACTGGACACAGGCGTAGAACTGCAATTGGGAAGCCCAATCCCAGGCATGCTTACTTCAAGCCAAATCCCACTGTGTTAAATGAGTCTTACTGGCAGGTAGATGCACACGGTGGTGCAGCCCTAGTTTAGACCAAGGAGAAGAACTCAAAGTGTTTACTTTTAATGGGGGGGGGATCCATGTCTTCCGGTAGTAGCACCTTTGTCTTTTAGAACACCAAATAAATTTTAGTCTACTATTTTGTGCTTATATATATTATTCATACAGCATCAGTTTAGTTCAAAGTAAGTACAATTTGCATGGGTCAGTTTGCATGCATATAAAACTATTTATTGAAGCTGCATTAAATGCATGGAAAATAACCTTTGTTATTAGGGTTTCAAGTAACATGGCTGAGAGTCAATAAGCTTGGGGACAGCAAAGATTTGAGAACAGAATTTTTAAATGCACCTCTTTTCTTCCGCAAGAGAACATGTTTGTCATGTGAATTGTTAAACAGTGTTGCTGCTAAACAACAAAGGCAGAAAAGCTTGAATGTTCAACATACCATTTTAATAAAAATACTTTTAAAATACAGAGTCTTTGTTCAGAATCTTTGGCATAGCTTAGAACACAGCATTTAGGTCTCGAAGTGGAATCATACAGAGTATTTGGTGTATTTATGAATTGCATATCAGAATTTCCAGTGATTTTTCATTTCAGTTCAAAATCTAGACAACAAACCCCACTCATTTAAAATGTCATTGGCCTCCCTCTAGAGATTCTCAGGCACCCAAAATTATTTCATGCTAGCATCTCCATGCACAAAAACTGCACAAGTTGGGAACATAGGCCATATATCTACAACCATACACACTCTTCTTTGGAAAGAAATCTGGGGAGATCAGAAGCAGAGAATACCCACTTCCATGTGGAATGCTCTACAGTAGTAGAGGCTCTCTACAGTCTCAGGCACAACAGGATTCTGCTTCAGGTTCTTGTAGAGAAGGCAGTTCAGTAGCTCCTCCCTTCAAGAAACCTTTGTGGACTTGTATGCATGGCAGAGACTTAGAGTGATGAGCAGGTGATTGGCTGAAGCATCCTGCTTCTTTAAAATAAAAGCTTGGCAAGAATATGGAGACCGTAAAAATAAAGCTTCAAGGCAATTCATTACAATACCATTTACATAAAAACACAATATGTACAGCAAAAGAGTTTCATTAAATAAAAGCATTGAGATTTTCTACCCAAGTTAACAACTTGTTTCAAACGGTTAATTTTGGAGTAACCTTTCTCCCTTCCTTTTGATTCTTACGGGTTTGCATAGTAGGCAAATACTTAATTCCCTTATGTAACAGTATTGTATAAGTCTGCATGCACAATTCTGTGTCCACATCTGCAGAAGAACCTCATAAAATCCCAAGAGTTACACTATGATCAAGAAAATGCCACATAAATGTAACCTACCACCCTGAGGCAATAAGAGGGCAATCTTCAGCAAAGCCCTTTAGGGATGGTGTGATTTGTTACCCCAGTTGAGAACCCCATATCCCACGTATGCAAAATATAGAAC